TTCGACGGAGAGAAGCCAAATCGAAATAGCCGTAGATATGGATCTTCGGAGAGTGCTCCCTTGATTTCAAGAACATGCCATTGTCTGGGAGGGGCGAGGCGATTGATATACACCCTGGCCGGCATGACCACCCCTGCTCATTGTAGGCCTCGATTTGGATATACCTGCCTAGATAGATGCAGTATTATAACCCACAAGTAAGAACCAAGCCATATTTCACTGTTGTAGCTAGGAATCGTATTCTTGAGTATCTATACTTTTAAATCCCGTGTCTAGTATTTGTAGTATTGAGACCATTCTCTTCTGTCCATAGACAGTCGGAATTATCTGGAAAGGAGAACATTATGGTGATCCTACAGAGACGCCTGCTAGTATTTTTGGAACTTCTAAATCCCTGGGCGTCATCTCATGCATCACCCGGTATGACAATATGCTACATAGGAAAAAATGTCGACGAATCAATTTCACTTGTCTAGTGTATCCCATAAGAAGTTCATCTAGCACTCAATGAACCGTTGATGCCGAGGTTCGCAAACATATTGAAGCTATTGGGCGTGGGTGTGTTTGGGGGGGGGGGGGGGGTTGGCAATATTCCATCGGCTACACTGCATAATTCGCAGATGATTGTCCTCGGGGTAGTCACATATGACCTGTATCTGGGCCGAATTTTGCTGTTCGAGGCCTATGAAAGCCATAAGTGTGCCTTAATCACCAATGTAGGTAGTGATAGATTGTGGTATCATTGAGCATTTCCTCCGATGCGAACACAATCAACGAGCAAAGTGGCCTGTTGATCGGATCTATGGCATCTAGACTTGAACTGATTACAAATGTTCTGCCTGTGCTTGGGAAAATCTTGTGCTGTCTGCTAAAGGAAAGAGCGCGCAGGTGCCCCCAGCCGCTCCTGCCAACTTGTGCTTCGGGTTGGACTACGGGGACTTTCTTTCGCCGCCAGTGGAGGAACTCACCCTGACTTCACTTTTACTTCAATCCCATTTGCGAGAAAGTGATTCGCGGCTTATCTCAAGCTTTCTTTTCATCACTTCTCATTTCTAAAACCTTGTACCTTCTTTCATCGCCAGTTTCATGCTACGCTCTTTCTTTCTTCTAGCATATTTTATCATAAACTCACCCTCACAGCCAAATCGATCAACGATCCCGCCGAGATGAGCGGTTCAGCTCTCTCCCCGAGGGAAATCCGGATCCTCGTCGCCACCGAACGCATTGGAGGCGGCCTTTCCATGGCCGCCATCGTTATTCTTGTAGCCTCTTATGTGTTCTTCAAAAGCCTTCGCACTACGCCGAATCTCTTCCTCGTCTTGGCAGCCCTCGCAAACCTTGGAGCGAGCGTTGCGTCTGTGATGGGATATGACGGTCTTAATTTGGGGAGACATTCGACTCTGTGCCAGGCTCAAGCCTTCATCTTCCAGTGGTAAGAGATCAAGGGTTGCTCAACTTTGCCCGAGGTAAAACAGAGACTGATTTCGTTTCAACCAGGTTCATGCAAGCCGATCCGTGGTGGTCATTTGCCATGGCAGTCAATGTCTACCTGGTCTTTTTCTACAACGTAAACCCTTCAAGCTTCCGCAAGCACGCATGGATTTACTGCTTGGTATGTTACGGTGGTCCGATGGTAACCGCAATCGCTTTGTTTGCGGTTCGGAATGATCCAAGGGGATTGATCTATGGCGACGCAGTGGTAAGTAACTGCGAAAGCCCCCGTATGCCACTGAGGGCGATGACTAACGTGCCTGGAGCTCTGGTGCTGGATCGACTCGAGCTGGAGCCTTGTGCGCATATATTCTTTTTACATACCGGTATGGATTTGTATTTTTCTGTCGATTCTCATTTACATCGCAGTTGGTTACCGCGTGTTTCATCACCGCAATCAGCTGAGGAGCTTTGCTCGCAATGGGCTCGGAAAAGACCAGCTGGATGGAAGTAACACAAGCAACACAAGCAATGCGGATAGGGATTCTGGAGAGGAAGTAAGCGCTCGCCGCATGAGCACTCTTTTGCGTACTTATCTAATCGAGCTTGAACAGGCCCTCACCCCAAAACTTGACTTCTACGGAACGGTTGTTACCGAAGTTCATGTAACCTCGCACCATCCGGCGAACGCATACAAGAGCTCAACTGCCATGTTCCCGCAAGTCCATATCCCCACTGGGCTTGGCCGTAGCCGTTCGTGTGTCGGGGCCCATGGAGTAGACGATATCCAAAGTCCCACAGCCGCAACCACTCAACAGTTTGAGACAATCTGCTCGTCTGAACGCGCACCAGTCGAGAAGAGGTCAAGCACAATAATGAGAGTACTCCGAGAGGCCCAAGAGAGCGCTTCTGTCAAACTGAAACGACTTGATCCTGTGAAGGTGTCTTATCTCAGAACAAGTTTCATTTTCGCCTTTGCGGTGCTCATCACATGGATTCCCAGCTCTATTAATCGCCTGTACAGCTTGACTCATGACAACCAGGTTAGTTTTGGGCTCAGTCTGGCAAGTGGTTGCGTACTGCCCCTACAAGGTGTCTGGAATGCCATCATCTACTTCTCTACCAGCTAGAAGCCTCTATGTGAAGAGATGAGAGCACTCTCAAACAAAATCTTTCGCAAAAATACATCAGCCCATAGGTCAACCTTGCGAGCTGAGAGCCGGCTGGATGTCACTGGCGATATTAGTTGCGCTTCGCCTTCGACCGTCAGATTCACCCATCCCAGCGACACCGGTGATCAAAACTCATACGACGGGATTGAAATGAGAGATTATCGAATGTTTTAAGTCGTGTGTCACCAGTTTTTGGGGATGAACGTGGTAGATTCGCCAGTTTCCTATTGCTGGCAATGAAGTCGCATACTTTGAGCATTATCCCTGAGTTGGGGACTCGTATATGAAGCTGAGATAGGATGACGCATAGCGTTTTGATATCGGGCGAGATTCACCGAATGTGGTCCTGTTTTGCTATTTACTAGTGTGCATAGTTGTCTCTGGTCTGCCATTTGCGGATTGAAGCTGGTTAGGCGTAGACCTGTCATTCGAGAGAGGCAGATATAGTTATTAAAGGGTATTAATGGAGATATGCCACACTTGAGAAAGGAAGCCTGTTTTCAACAAGCTGGCTCATATTTATCATCATTCATGTTATTATTACATATGTTCCCTCCGCGCACTACTCCGAGTACACCGGCTCACCCTCGGCCACATTAACCCCAGCCTGGACAACGCGCTTCACGGCGTCCTCGATTTCCTCGTCGCCGTCGTACAGATCGAGCCAGGTGTTCTTGATCCCCTCGGCGGCCAGCAAGGTATCGGCGACCTTGGCCACGTTGGCGCGGCTCGAGTTGCCCTTGGGGTAGGGGGTCCTGCCGAGGGTGACCTTGCCGACGGGGTCCTCGGTCAGCAGACCGGGGCGGAGGTTGATGCCGACGAGGTGGGGGTTCTTGCGGGAGGCGCGGTAGAGCTCCTCGTCGGCGACGATCTTGGCCTTGTAGTAGTTTGCGAGGACGCCGTGGTTGACGGACTCGTTGTACTGCTCCCACTCGCCCTCGGGCCACCAGGAGGCGCCGGCGCGGCGGGAGCCGATGTAGGAGACGAGGAGGAAGCGGGTGATGGAGGGGGTAGCGGCCGCGGCGTTTATGAAGTGGACCGCTGCGTCGCGGTCGATCTTGAATGTCTGCGGTATGTGTTAGTACGTTACTTATGATGTTTGGTGGTTGGAGGTTGAGCTTACCCTCTCAGGAGCTCCTTTGCCGCCAGCACCTATAATATTATTAGCAGTGTGCCTTTTCATGGGTCAGGAATAAAACATACCAGCACTCCATGCGATGTAGTCGGGCTTCACCTCGGCCAGGATGCCGGCGGCCTGCTCCTGGCTGGCGACGTCCTCGATGCTGCGGACGAGGACGTTGAGCTTGCCCGGCTGCCCCGCGCCGAGCTTCTCGATGGTGGGGACCTGCTCCTGGGCGCGGATGACGCTGGTGACGGTCCACGAGCGCTGGAGGAGGAGCGGGGTGAGGAGCTGGGCGACCTTGCCGTGGCCGCCGAGGACGAGGACGTGATGGGACATGGTGGGTGGTGGTGGGTTTGGTTCTTGGATGAGCTTTAGGTGCGGGGAGGATGGAGCGAGCTTCTGGTGGTGAGAGGGGGCAGAGTGCTATGCTTCAGATGAAGGGGTCTCTTATTTATGTTTTGATCCGGCAGCCTGCATTAAGCCTCGAAGATTGCCCCGAGCCGTGGGGAGGTCCGGTTCAAGGTCCAGCGCTACGGTACAGGTACATGCGCCCGGGATGACGCCATGATGTGGTGTTTGGCGGGGTGGGATGCATCATGGGCAGGGACAATTGCACAATGCGCGAAGGCTGCTGTCATAGCTGTGGGTTTGGCGTCGACGTGGAACGAGGAGAATCGGGCTTGTCCGTCCAATGGAGGGCGGCGGTTATGCTTGGGAGCGTGACAATATCCGTCGAATGCTACGGAGCTGCGGGGTTCGCGGTTCCGCAACTCCGAGTTTCTGGGTCGGGATGGCGGCTCTATTACTTGATTCTGACAGGAAGTTTTATCCGATGAATGGAATGGATCATAACGTAAATCGGCGAACAAAACTATCCAGCGTTTAAGAAACTATGGCGGCGCCCGATGATCGGCTTGACTCGGCATAGTCTTATCGATTAGAGATCGCGACTCAAGAGCTTCCCCGCCATTGATGGCACCTACAGAGGTCCTCAGATATCAAGATTCTGTATTAGATGGGTGGCTATCGGAATCTGGGGTTTGGAAATCATGGAATTTGTCATCGTAATTGTTCTGCCTAGACGGAGTATCACATAGGTGCACACGCTATCAAACGTTTCTTTTTCTCATGCAAGTACAGCAAAGAAACCGTCATAGATGTGGGGCATTTAGTACATACCGAGCTCAACTTCGCTCGCTTCAACTTAACTAGCCGTCAGCATCTACCGCCCATGAACCACCTCTCCCTCCCGGAACGAGTCTGCTAGTGGCTTCATGTTCCTACGGGGAATGGTGAGTTCTATCAAAGCAATGTCCAAGTCAGTTTGCATCATCGGTAAGTCGCTGAGGCTATTCCGTGCTCGTGATCTCTCCGAGTCTTGTCAGTCCTGACTCCCTCTTCGTGTAGGCGCCGGGCCTTCCGGGCTCGTGGCCGCCAAAACGCTATTGCATAACGCGCCAAAGGGAGAGTTCAAAGTCACCATCTTTGATATCCAAGACGATGTCGGTGGGCTGTGGCCCACATCGTTGGCCGATGATAAACGTCAGGTCCATCCCTTGATGGTAGCCAACCAGAGCAGGCATACGATGCACTTCAGCGACCTTGCCTGGGAGGAGAGCTGGCCACAGATACCGTTGGGATGGCAGGTTGGACAGTACCTCAAGCGCTACCAAGAACGATACTTGTCTGGGCATGAAAGCTTCTCGCTCGAACTTGGGACTCGCGTTGCAAGTGCAGTGCCTCGCGATGGTCCAGAGCACGGCTGGAATGTGGTATTGAGAAAGGGCGAGAGCGAAGAGACCAAGTCGTTCGACTATGTCCTCGTGGCATCCGGCTTCTTTGGAAAGCCCATCATTCCCGAGTGTCTGAGCCCGCCCAAAAAGGTCCCTATCGTCCATAGCAGCGCATACCGCGACTTGGAGAGCTTGCTGAGCGATGCAAAGCCGGGCGGTGGGAAGATCCTGGTGATAGGTGGGCAGATGTCGGGGGTAGAGATTGCTGGGACGATTGGTTCCCATCTTTCCAGTGCCATACATTCTCCTGAGAGCAGCAAGATCCCGGACATTGACAAGTATAGCATTCATCACGTTATCCAGCGGCCGATATGGGTGTTTCCCCTCTACACCAGCCCGGAAGTACGGTAGATCATGTGAATCGCAGTTGAAGGTACTGGCTAACGTGAGATAACAGCCGTCATTCTCCGCAGCCCCATTTCTGCCATTTGACTTTCCATCATATAACTTGAACCGCCGGCCTCATCCTCTCGCGAATAGCCAAGGCCATATTTCCCAAGATGTTGCTAAGCTCGTTAATGGCATATTTGAAACTACCCTTGGAAATGACCAATCACCATTCTCCAGCCAGTTGCATGTCAAGGAGGAGAGGAGGACAGAACAGCCCTACCTGGCCGCAAGTGATTGGTACTGCGAGTTTGTGAGGTCCGGGCTAATCACGCTTACAACCGGCAAAGTCGAAGCCCTGCAAGGTACAACCGCGACGATTTCACCTGACGTTGAGCTGGGAGACATCGCGGCAGTTGTCGTTGCTACCGGCTTCGACGCCTCGCCTTGTCTGGACTTCCTACCCAGGGACATTCTCTCGACACTGCATCACTCTCCTCGTCACGTTGACCAACCGGTCGCTCTCGCATTCCATGGAACTCACCACCCGCAAGTCCCACGACTGGGCTTTGTAGGTTTCTACAGATCACCTTATTGGGGAGTCATGCAAATGCAAGCACGGTTCTTGGCAAGGTTCTGGTCCGGGTCCAGAGATAAGCTTGTCCCAGCTAAGTTTGATAGCAAGCTTAAGTCGGATGATTCGATAGAGAGGACGTTGGGTTTGAGAGACGACCCTCGCGTTTCGCAATTCCCGATGGGTGACTACCCTTTCCTCATGCAGGAGTTTGCCGAAGCGTTGGGTTTAACTCGGGAGCCCCCGGCGATGGCAGGGTTGCCCGAACTTTCTGTCAACAACCAGCCCCTGGACATGCTTACCCCTTCGAGGTATATTGACACGGCGGATGACGACAAGGCAAGGGAGGAGGCTGTGACTTCTCTCAAGAGCGCCCGCGATGTCACGCTGAGTGCGCTGACAACGCCACGTTTTGTGGCTAGGGCCGTATTCCGCAGCCTCTTGGGCACCTGGAAACTTGAGCGGGACCTGGTCAGCAAGCTCCCGTCTCATCCCAGCGGCCACTTTAGTGGCACGGCCCGATTTCTATTGCGCGAGGCGACCCTGGATGGGCTTCAGTGCGTGAGCAACGACGGTGGATCCACAGCGCCGGGCCGGTCCCGGGGCCTGGAATACCTCTACATTGAGGAGGGCGAGTTCAAGACAGACCTGGGATTCGGCTTCAAGGCAAGCAGGCGGTACGTATGGCGGTACGACGAGGACCGGGACGTCCTCAGCCAGTGGTTTGTTAAACCGGACGATGAGAAGCGGGTAGATTACCTGTTCCACGAGATCAAGTTCCTACAGCCCGACGACAGAGAAAAGGCCGAGAGCCAAGGGTGGCAAGCCCAGGCGGGTCATCTGTGTATCGACGATTTTTACAACGTCAAGTACGACTTTTCATTCGAGGCCGTGAACCTGAAGCAGTGGAGCATCGGATACACGGTCAAGGGCCCGAAGAAGGACTACTCGATCAGCGGGACATATACGCGGTAGGGTAGTCTAAAGTGAAATACCAGGGTGACTCTGGCCCGTCAATGATTCATTCAACCGTATCGGCAGTTCTATTTATTAATAGCAGGCAGGGCATGGGCTCAAATCAGTAGACGAGACGATGGCACAACCAACAGCCTCATCCCACTTTCGCCGCAATGACTGTCATGAATGGGACCACCGGCATGGTAGGCTGGAGTGACCCCGGCGCGGCCGTACCGTGACTGGGTGAGAATTTTCGCGGCATGGCGATGACTGTAGGGCGGTGTGTGTACGAGGTCAGGCTACTCTTATCTGGCGAGACGGGAGAAATTCCTGTTTTCCTCGAGATCGGAGAGAATGCCAGGGTGGTGCATGGCGGCATGCGAGATGAGGCATCGCGCAAAGGCCCGAAGGGACCCAAGATCTGGCTGATTACGATGGCCTGATGGCTGCATCAAGGGGGTGGCCATCCTTGCTCGCGGCGAGGCGTGGCCCAGCGACGGCCTGCGAGAGGAGGTAAGCCCTGGGTCCCCTGCGAGCCATCCACTCGGTCCCCATTGCGCCGCCGAAGCGAAGAACCTAAAAACCAAGCTTCTTGAGGGCGTACAGAGAGGTACTTGGCGATCTGCGGCGGGTGGACTGTTGCGCAGTGCGTGAGGTGAGTAATGGCCAGCTCAGCTCAGCCCAGCCAAGCACAACACGTACGTCGAGCAGCTGCATGAGGTGCTCCTGCCCTGCTTGTCGTCGCGCACAAACAGATAAAAGACGCGGGATGCCCCTCACCAGTCCACCATTTTGGCCCATCCCTTTCTCCTCGCTTAATTAGACAGCCACCTATAGATGTCACTATAGATCATAGACGATAGAGCAACATTGCCTCTGCGCTACCACATTACCCCTCCACTAAACAGCCTACCACCTACCTGACCAAACACCACTACCACTGACCCCCACCTAATCGATCTCACCATGAAGCTCGCCGTCTACAGCACCAAGCCCTACGACAGGCACTACCTGGACGCCGCCCTCAAGGCCCACCAGAGCACCACCAAACCCTCCACCAACGGCCTCATCCTCAACCTCAACCCCGACATCGAGATTGTCTACCACGAGTTCGCCCTCAACGAGAGCAGCGTCTCCCTCATCACCGACAATGCCGACGCCGTCTGCGTCTTCGTCAACGACACCCTGAGCGCCCCCGTCATCGACGCCCTCGCCGACAAGGGCGTCAAGGCCATCCTGCTGCGCTGCGCCGGCTTCAACAATGTCGACCTCGACTCGGCCCGCGGCCACGGCATCATGGTCGCCAACGTGCCCTCCTACTCCCCCGAGGCCGTCGCCGAGTTCGCCGTCGCCCTGATGCAGACCCTCAACCGCAACACCCACCGCGCCTACAACCGCGTCCGCGAGGGCAACTTCGCCCTCAACGGCCTGCTCGGCCGCACCCTCCACGGCAAGACCGTCGGCGTCCTCGGCGTCGGCAAGATCGGCCTCGCCACCGCCCGCATCATGAAGGGCTTCGGCTGCAAGGTGCTCGCCTACGACCCCTTCCCCACCCCGGCCTTTGAGGAGTACGGCGAGTACCGCGACCTCGACGGCCTGCTCGCCGAGTGCGACGTCATCAGCCTGCACTGCCCGCTCATGGAGAAGACGCGCCACATCATCAACGAGGAGACCATCGCCAAGATGAAGAAGGGCGTCCTCCTCATCAACACCTCGCGGGGCGGGCTCGTCGACACGGGCGCCGTCATCCAGGGCCTCAAGAGCAAGCAGCTCGGCGGCGTCGCCCTCGACGTGTATGAGGGCGAGGGCTCCCTCTTCTACGACGACCACTCGGGCGACATCATCGACGACGACATCCTCATGCGGCTCATGACCTTCCCCAACGTCCTCGTCAGCGGCCACCAGGCCTTCTTCACTGAGGAGGCCCTCTTCGAGATCGCCACGACCTCCGTGCGGAACCTGCACGAGTGGGTTCATCGGGGCACATGCCACAACTCCCTGACCAAGGACTCCCCCACCGAGTCCGGCCTCACGAGCCCCGTCCGAACCATCTAGTGTGGTTCTATGACTCTTCTTTTTTCTTCTTTTTTCTTTTTTCTCGTTTAGCCAAGCCTGTTATAGAAGTTGGAATGTGTTGTCTGGTTCGAAGGTTTTTTTTATTGGTTGGTTGTTTGTGTTTTTTCTAATGGAAACAGAATTATGAAATAATACCCAGGCCTGTCTATCCTATATGTAGTTGTCTATCCAAACCTATTATGCCCGTGTTCTATACCCAAATTCTATGCCATGAATGAAATAAGAAAATGAAAGAAATATATGATAATGAAACTTGCTCAACTCTCTTCACGTCCATGATCCAAGACCCGGACCCCCTTAACTCTCTCTCTCCAATCCCCAACGTCAGCTTAAGGATTGCTAACGTAACTCCTCGCCCTCCTCAGATCCTCATCATCGGTAGGATCATCCCTTACCAGCGCACCCCCATGCGTATGCTTGTGGTGCACACCCCCCTTCTTCCCCTTCTCCACGTCCGACGCAGACCCCGAATCCGACTCCTCATCACCCGCGTAGGCATACTTGCTCCTCTCGCGGATCTTGGCCCCGTAGCGCCAGAACAGGAAGGGGATACCGCAGCACGCCAGACTGATAAAGGCGAGCAAAGTAGACGCCCACCGGTCGTTGAGCCGGTCGTACATCTGCTCGGTGAAGAGCACGACGGCGGCGCCCCAGAAGCTGCGGATGAACGTCTTGGCGGCGAGGGCGGAGGCGGCCTGGTGCTGGTACGAGTCGACGAGGTAGTTGTTGGCCGAGTTGTACAGGAAGATGAAGCCGAACCCGACGGGGAACCCGCCCATCGCGGGTCCCGCCCACGAGAGCTCCGGGTAGGCGGTCCAGGCGAAGATGAATAGGCCGATGGGGATGAACCAGCACGAGAGCATCATGGGGATGAGGCGGACCTCTGCGGGCGGGTGCCCGTCGTGCTTGGCGACGAGGTGGAGGTAGTGCTTGTTGATGAGGGGCGAGCAGACGGCGGAGAGGATGACGCCCACGGCGACGGGGATGAACATGAGGCCCGTCTTGCCGGCCGAGTAGCCCTTGCCCTTTTGGTAGATGATGGGGAAGGCGACGAAGAACATGTAGAGGAGGCCGTAGAGGACGCTCATGTAGAGGGAGATGAGGAAGACGATGAGCTCGCCGAAGAGGAGCTGGAAGGGGCGGATCATGAAGACGGCGAGGCGCTCCTGGATGGGGCGGGCGTCGATGTCCTCGGCCGTGACGTGGCGGGCGTCGCCGGTCTCGGCGCGGAGCTTCCTGGCGCGGCGGGCGAGGATTGTCGGCGCGTAGGTTTCGGGGACGGTGAAGGTGATGAGGACCCAGATGATGCCGGAGAAGATGAGCTGGATCCAGTACAGCCAGCGCCAGCCGGCGGCGTCAGAGAGGTAGCCACCGATGAGGGGACCAACTGGAAGGACATGTTAGCTTATTCAGGGGCTTTGAGAAAAAGGGGGTTATCAAGTGTTCACATACTGGCAGGACCAATGAATGGCGCAGCAGAGAAGGCAGCCATAGGAACACCACGCTCCTCGTTCCTCCAGAGATCGGCAAGTGTACCTCCGACCAGAGTCATCGGCGCAGAGAAGGCAATGCCGTCAATGGCACGGCAGACCAGGATCGTCTCGATATTCTTGGCCACCGCACTAGGAATGATGAAGACGACCGCAACGAGCAAAGTTGAACCGCTGGAAACAAAATCTCCGTCAGCACCAATTCAACCTTTCATCAGGGGAAGAAGCGAAACATAAGACTTACTAGATGATCCTCCGACCATACACCTCAGAAAGCGGTGCAAAAACCATGGGCCCAACACCGAACCCAACAACAAACAGAGAAATACTCGCCAGCGTCAGCTCCTCGCTGGCGCCAAACTCCTTCGCCACACCCGCGACATCAGCGGTGATGACGGAAGACGCAAACGCCACGACGAAGCAGGTCAGGGCGACGACCATGGTGATGTACCACTTGTACCCCTTGGACCAGTTCTTGGGGTTCTCCGGGTCGTCCGGGTGGAACGTCACGAGCTGGTACTCGACGGGCGTCTGGTCGCCGTTGACGGTGGCATGGCTCTTGACCCGGATGGGCTCCTCGCCGGGGAGGGACTCGACGCGGTGCGTGGCTGCGAAGTCGTCCGCCGCGGCGCCGGCGGCCGTCGTGGGCTGGGTGACGGGCGCGGGGGACATGGAGCGGCGGTGCTCGTGGAGGGTGCGCACGTCCGAGTCGACGATCTCGTCCAGAGGCGCCATGGCCTCTTCTCGCGATCTTTGAGGATGGTGATGCGATGACATTGTGGTGTGTGGTTTGTGTGTATATACGTGACAATGTAATAGGAAGTAGTATATAGAGAACCCGAAGCTCTGATCCCTAATCTAAAACGACAAAGGGAAAAGGGAAGAGGAAGAAGTAGGAAATCGGGAAGGGGGAAGGAAAACCCAGTGTTCTGGTGCTCATCACAGCAAAGACCAGCTCTCTCGATGGCTTCCAGACGGGGAGGGCCCAGGTATATTTATACACCTCTCCCCTCCGCCCCGATCGCAGCTCTTTCACATGGCCACGATGAAAAACCGTGCCCAGATGAAAATGGCAAAGCTATATCAACAGGCTCGGTACCTCCGTCCAGGTATCGAGCAAGTACCGCACAACGATGCGTGAGGTTCGTGGCAGATGGAGCCCGTGGGAATAACCCAGAGCAAAATAAACCCATGGCCCAGGCCCGAAGCGGCCAAGCGCATCGTGCCTACATGCAAAGAGGGCAGAGGCGAAAAGCTCCCGTTGGACGGCCGACCCATGATCCTTATCCAGGGCCCATCGAAACCCATCAGAGACTCCATCGAGGCCGTCCCAATCAATGATTCAGCTCCAGCCGGCGATCCACCCGCAGGGCCATGCGGCAGACAGGCGACAGCCCGACCCTCCATAGCCGTGATAACCGAGTGGCTCGCTGCGTAGCTCTGGAGTCTGGACCGGTTGAAACCTGCTGCAGCCCCTTTAGTCCTTTCGTAGATCCGAGGCTTTGCTGCCGGCGCACGATAAGAGATAAGGAACTGCAGATGAACCGACACCTACAAAAAAAAAGGACGAAGAATAAAAACGTCATACTGACATAACCACGAACACCTCCTCTCCAAACTCCCACCTCCCACCAACAACATTCCAATCCCGCAAGGGAAGCACCTCCAGAAAATAGAGAGCCAAAATAGAGAGAGGAACAGAGGGTACAAAAAAGATACAACCAGAAACCCAGGCGTCAGAACCGCCTTAGCCTCAGTGGGGATGAATCATCCCCTCCAGCCTATCACACGCAAGCAACATAGCGAGAAATCTCCGGCCTCTACCAAAACGCACACGCAGAGACCCCAAAAAGTAAAACAGACAGAAAAAAAAAAGACGGACACGACAAATCGATTGGTATTATTTCTCCTGCGAACCCAAAAGCTCAGGCCTGCGTTGGGGCAGACACACCCTCCCCCTGCCCCCCTAGGAAGGTTGAAGGGACAGTTGGCGATAGCTTCACTTTGCTGTTTTTTTCCTACCCTCTGAGGCACGCACTAAAAGGCTAAGCTTCTTTATCCGCTTGTACCTACGTACCCTGCGCCCCCCTCTAGCTACTTCTGCACGATCGTTGGACCCAGCCAGAAGCATCCTTTCATCTCCACCACGGCGCCGATGTGGAGCCCGGATTCAACACGGGCTACATCGTGGGTCCCCGGCATCGGTTCACACGCCCTCCCTGCTCGTCAGAGTCAGCAGAGTATTACCTAGCGCAGCTCGCACGGAGCGCTATCAGAAAGACGCGAGGAGGCGAGCTTGTGCTTTCCCTCTGGATCCACCCGCGAGTGTCACTCCTAAACTCTCCGGGTCAAGCATCATAGTGTTGTATGAGGTAAAACTTGCTATTACGTAGTTATGTGACAGTAGTAGGTCATCGGCTCAGGGAAACTATGTAAAGATGGAAGGACTGCCTCCCCCTTCCCAATAATCCGTCCCGTAGATGTGGATCTCATCTAATCTACTCTTCCCATGCAATGCTGCCCTTCCATAACACCACCACCGAGCTCTGCTGCCCGACTTAGCATGGGCACCAAGTCGTCAGTCACCTCAACTCCACGTCCACCCGAGAGATCCCATTCACCTCTTCAGCCAAGTCCACGCTGACCGTGCCACTCATCCTGTCTCCCCTCCGGCTCGTCACGTACCTGCTGAACCGTTCCGCCGGCGCACTCGTCCAGTGAGACGAAGGGCCGCCGTCAAACCCAGATGCACACTCGTCGTCGAACAATGTGACGTTCGCGCTGCCCCTGCCCTCTTCTTCCGCGTCGGCCATCATCACATCTCCATCTTGGTCGAGATAACGCAGGCTTCCATCGCGCTGGACCACAGATTTGATACAGGGCTCATCCCTGCCCGTGTCCATGACCCACGTCCGGGCCCATCCTTCCGCGCTAAATGCCCATATAATCATCTCGAGCCTTGCGTCCAGGGCAATTTCCACAAGGTTGCTGCACTCTGCCACGACTTGTCCACGGATCTCCAGGGGATATACAGTGCTGTCTGTGAACGGGTCGCTAAAAATATCAATCTCGTGATATGTCTCTTCCAGGCGCCACCGGACCCATTCAGAAGCTAATGAGTCCTCTGAGAGCCTTCCAGTCCCACTACCCAGGCGTGTCTTCAGCCCAGGACGGGAGATGTCATGAAACATATCAGGTGGTATTGTGTAAAACACAAGAAGCTGCTTATCCTCCACTCTCCCCCCTCTAGTGGCTTTCTTCCCGTTTCCACCCTCCCCCTCTTCCTTATTCCCATCTTGCATGAGGGAAAATGTGGCAATGATGCGAACCCCGTGCCGTACATCGGAGCCAGCTGTATAGAGAAGTGGCACTGGCGATGTTGCTCTCGGCGGAGGCGCGAACCAGACTTTGCGGAGGAGGCGGGCGACGGACCCGACTGGTGCGTCAGTTCCCATGCAGAGGTTGCCAGTCCGGGGATCTGTGAACAAAATGTGGTAGCCGTCACTGAGAGGGACAGCTCGGTAATGGTCTGCACTTCTTGCCGACACCTTCCTCAGCTGGATGTCGTGCGATGTTACTGGTATCACTCTTCCCAGAAGATCCCTGCTGCGAAAGACAGGCCGCTGCTGGTCAACGCGTGCTGTTATTGTATGCACCTCCCGGGCAGTTGGGCGCCCACGATTGTGCCCTCTAACAGACACAACCGAGGTGCTAATCACTCCGAGTGGTGGTTCATTATACCCATGAATGTACGTGACTGCATCGTTCATCGGACGCCCGATACCGGCGGCAGAGCTAATGAGCCTAAGCTTCTTTGCACTGTCAATACCCCGACGATGTGGGAGGAAGTATAGGAAGTCGCTTGGAGAGGTCAGGGGGAACCATCTGGACAGGTCGTGCCCCGACAGAGCATCCACCCAATGTAGCTCGATGCCAGAAGCGCACCCAAAGGCAACGCAGCTCCGCTGTGGGCACAATGCCACGGAGCGAGGTGGGTCATCGGGGTGGCAGATGTATCTGTACACTGCCTTTGAACCATTCTCTACCGGCAAGGGTCGTGAAGGGGGTGATATGCGACAGATACAGTCATACCCTTCGGAAGAGCTGCTTTCGGAGCTCGACCCTGACCACGGCTGAGAATCAAAGCCTGCGGAGTGATAAAATACGCCGTTGCTTCCGTGAATCCCCAGCTTTTCCGGCGAAAGGTCTTGGACCACTCCAGTACGCCCTTCTAGCAGAAAGGCTATCGCATTTCTACCGGCCGATGTATCCATACTGAAGCTAATGATGGGCGCAGGACAGACGATCACGGTCACAGGCCGCAGAGAACCCAGGCTCAGCCCCTGTCGCCCAGAGCCCGGGGTAGACCATCCCAAGTACTCCGGAGAGCACGTATGGTTGAGCTCATATACATATGCTCTGTGGCTAATGATGACGAGCAGGAATCGGCCGCAGAGGCTGGAAGCAAACGAGATGGCGCCATGGAGCGACCTCGGAGTCGATCCAGGGATGAGCCCACTGAAATCTGTCTGACCAACTTCTACAAAGCCACTCCGAGAGATGTCCGACAGCGTCGATTCTCTGGAGACCCATTTGCTCATGATCCTCAGGTCTTCGCCTTCGGCGGAGGACATGTCAGGCCGGGCAAGTATCCGAAGCACACTGGTCAACCAACCTCCACGCTTAAGCATTTGCACCAACAGCGATCGGTCGTAAGAAGCGAACAACCAAACGCGACACGTGTGACGGGCCGAGTTATAATCTACAGGGCCAAGGAGTTGATAAATCTGCTGGAGGATTTCCGTAGGAAGGCTCATCGCAGCCGAGGGTACTGTATCATCAAGTCAGACAGGGTTTCAACCTGACCACCTAGCAGGAGACAAACCTGAGGAAGGAACATCACCATCCGGATCGGATACGTAGCCGACATCAGGCATTGACATGCTCAAGCGGCGTCTCTTGGAGCCATCTTGGTCGAAGGAAGCAGTAGACATTGTAGCCATCGCTTCGCTACTTGCCAATTCCCTCTTGACCCGCCGACGCCGAGAAGCCGCAACGCCTCTCGAGAGGAGAATTTGCCAAGACGTGGTGAGAGCAGCCCCGCTGGGACGAGGCCAGGATAAGATACTAGAATGGGAGATGTAGGTAAGTCATAGGGGCTGAGCGGTGGTAAGTCTGTTAGACGGATATGGATGACAAGAAGAAGAGCGAATCGATGATCCCGGGTGGTAGCTAATGAATATTACAAGTCAGTGTTGTCCATTCCGTTGCTTGTGCCATGACGCAACTTGAGTAGCTCCTCCATACAAACAAGCTCTTACTCTCATCAAATGTGCTATCGCTCTTTCCATTTCATCGTATCGACATCATGAACACCAGGGAAGGAAGTAGGGACGCCGCACTTCCCATCTTGTACAAAGAAAAAGTACATATCAATATTATTCGCTGCAGACTAGCGGATGAACAAGGAAGTATGGAAAGTATAAATGGTATCGCCTTGCGCCGTGCCCAATGCATAATAAGTTCACGTGACTGTTGCATGTTTCTCTCCATCACCCATATCAGAAAGAGCTGTCGGTATTCTGTCTCCAAACATTAGCCTCACCGATTCCGAGAGACGAATCCGTGCTGGGTACGATCAAAGAAGGCTGGTCCTCGTCCGTTTCCAGGCTTTCTTCTTCAATCGGTGGCGGTGGATCTTCATAGATCCAGGGTCGCTCCAATCTGTTGCAAACAAGAAAGCATTAGCAGAGGTCAAAGCAGAGGTCAAAAAGCTC